CAGCACCATTTGTTGAAAAGACAATGCACTTCATTTTGAAGTACAAAATTATGTCTGCATAATTAGTCCCGCTCCCAGTTAGACTATAAGTACCAAGAGGACAGGGACTGTGTCAATCTTGTTCACCACTGCATTTCCAGCATTCAGCCCAAAGCCTAGCTCCTAATAAGCACTCACAAACCTTGGTCAAATGAAGTATTATTTCTGTTATTAATACTCTACAACTCTATGGGTTACAGGTATTATCTCCATGTTACCTAAGCTGATAGAAGTTAGGCAACATGTGCCTTGTTTTGCTCGTTCTCAATTTTGACTCATGTGCCCCATCCTCCCCTAGGAAGGGAGTTAATGAGCTCCTCCAGGGCAGTGATTGCTTCTCCTTCCTCATGGTGTTGCCACCAACACAAATTCAGCTCAGGGCTAGGCACAGAAGACAGGCTGGACAGATGAATGACTGAGGGACAAATGGACAATGCCCTCCACGGCCAGGTCTCTCCCTCTTCTCCAGTTCCTCCTGACCTCAAACTGTGATCAAGCAACACCAAACAATATATAATTACCCCGCCCCACCACACACCCTAGGCTGTTTCTTGCCTCAGTGCTACCACTCATTCGGCCCCCTTTGCGTGGAATGCCTTCCCCTTCTATTTCCCAAGCCCTACTGTTATTTAAAGCCATTTCCTCTAGGATGCTTTCTCTGGTCTCCCAGGTTGGTTAGGGGCACCTTCTGGGCTCCTGTCTCACAGCACTGATCACGCTATGTTGCCACAGTCTTCCCCAGTCTCCTGCATTAAGGGCAGGAATCATGCATGGCCAGGGGTCCCTTGTGCCTAGCATAGGACCCAGCATATGACAGGTGCTCAGTAAATTTTGTCAAATGATCAAATGAATCCTGGAAAGGGCAGGCAGTGTGAGGTTCAAGATTGCTATCACCAGGGTTCCTTCTTTAGAGAACGTTTGGGTTGATGAACAACTGAGTTATGCACTCAGCAAAGAGGCCCAACTCCCTGCTGGGAGAAGGGAAATGGGTAGGGGTGTTGTCTTTCACTCAAGTTTGTTCTGAAGGAAATGTGATCTCCACTGGGAGAGTAGGAGGCCTCACTTCTCCCAGTCCTGATAGCTCCTCACATGGCTCAGCCCAAGCCTGGACAGATGTGCCTTCAATCTGCCCTATGCCCTAGGTTTCGGGTGAGTGATTCCTGCATCCAGAAGCCAGGCTCGGGTATGGGCTGAGCCCAGGAGTAGGGCCACCTGCTCATGATGCTGACAGGTGGGACAGGGGCCCCAGGACAGGGCTTCTACTCCTGAGTTGTCAGAGCTGAACACACTAACAAGGTTTAAGTGCCTTGGGGGAGGAGGAGGGAAATGGTTGCCACACAGGGAGAAAGGAGGAGAGAAGGAAGAGAATAGGAAAGAACCCAGCCTTCCTCTAATATAGCCAATGGAAGTATGGAAATAAGACTCTGGACTGTCTGCTTCAAGTTTGCTGAAAAGTCAGTAAAAAGCAACTTTCCCCAAGTTCTGTTGTGCTGGGGATTAGAATATGAGATGTGGGGAAACAGACCTGTCCCTGCCCTGGGGAGGCACACAATCCAGTGGTTTAAGGTGAAGTCTAGCTCACAACCTTCTTAATATCAAGAACAGAATGTGGCGAGTGGCAGATCCTGCCCTGTCCCCTCTAGCCAGGCAGGCTCACGCCACACACAGTTAGCGAGCACCACATAAAGCAGGTCAACAGTGCCTCTACATCAGGGTGACTGTCCAGAGCTGTTGGCTTGATCGTCTCATAAGGTTGTCTATAAGGATTCCTGATTTGGGCAGCAGTGAATCTTGCTGCTTTTCTTATTCATGGACTGAGTGCCTCCTCAGTCCTGACAGTCAGCCCTAGTTCTCTCACCCAGCCTCCAACTTCTCTTCTAGACAAGGATCACTCTCTCGCCGCAGGCCGGCATGGCCCTTTTCAGATGACTTTCATACCCTCCCAGACCAGAAGGGAGATGTGGGGCAAAGAAAGGGGAGATCACAGCCAGGTGGGAGGAGTCAAGGAAGGCTTCATAAGGGCTGTAGCACTTAAGCTGAGTCTGAAAGGATTTAAGCAGAGGGTAATGAGCACTGAGTACAGAGGGATGGTCTGTGTAGAGGGCTCATACCCAAGACCTAGGAACTTCAGATTCCACAGCGTCCTTAAAGAGGAGGATGAAGCACTTCCCCTCTGAGCAGAAGAACCTCAGGCTGCTGCTCTTCACTACCCAGAGCTTTTCCAAGGCTCTAGGACTAAAGAAGGTTGGGGGACATCAAGGCAGAGACGAAGAAAGCCTCAGAGAGGGCAATGGGGAAAGAACGGTAAAGGACAGTATTATTCACCAGATCTGAGTTTTATTCCAAATACTGGTATCGGAGACCATACTGATCATACACTTGGTGACCTAACCATGTATAAACTATGTTTAAGGGGTTTTTAAAAATTGAGAATGAGACTCTATCCTGCTATAGGCAGGTCTGTTGGACGGAGCTAAAAGCAGGATACACAGGAAGAACCTAAGAGCAGCGTGAAGCACCTATGCAGAGTCTAGGGCATAGAAAAGCTAAATAAAGACCAGCTGTAGGAATTCAAAAGAACCATTCTTTTAGCAAGGATGGTCAGGCTCTCCCCACCTCCACCTCTAGACCTAGCTATATTAGCAGGAAAAACTATAATTGATAGGTTACATGTCTGTTTCCTCGAGACCAGAGCCTGGGTCACCCCCCATCTCCAGTGCCCTCCAGCAGAGGCCTACCCATTCATTCATAAGCAGGAACTCTTTTGGGTGAGGAGGGGGGTCCTAATTCAGGCCTTTATCACCTTGAATTTGTCTTATTGAAACAGCCTCTCCTCACTTGTTTATTCTTCACCCTTCTGAATGATCCTAAGTGAGTCACTCCCCTGCTCAAAAAGCTTCCATGTCTCTGCACTGCTTATAGAGTAAGAATTCAAGACTCCTCACCATGGGCTTTCTAAGCCCTGTACACTGGCTTCTCCCAGACCACCTGCCCTCTTCCCCACTCCTTGCAGTGCAGTTCAAGTACCACCTCAGCAGCACCAACACGACACTGGGCCCAGCAGCCAGCCAGCAGCCCCTGTCCCGTCTTTGCTCAGTTTGTCCCTACTCTTTGCTTCAGAGTGGGGGCGGGGGCACAGGGGGACGCAGGAGGTCAGAAGAGTAGGGGTAAGACTGCTGTGCTGAAAGTCAGGCTCTGTGCCTTGCTCATCTCTGACTCCCTTACAAGGGTGAAGGGAGACTGAGTCATCATGACCAAAAGAGATGAGACAACTGGAGGCGGGAGAAAAGCAGCTAGAGACTGGAGACACACATGAAAGGCCCTCACAAATGCTAGCCACACAGGCAAGAAGGAATGGTCTGCATCACACACACCAGAAATTCAATCTCTTCCCGCATTCTTTTGACGAGTGTTTAAATGCTATTAGAAAAACTTTTTTTTTGAGAGAGCTAAAATAATCAACATTCAGGGGCTTAATGGAATAGGGTAAACTCAGCCTCCCCTGGGTGATGGAACAGTGGATTCACGGCATTGCGGCTTTGCAAATACACCACCTAAACTAGGTTGCCAGAGCTAAGCAGCAGCCTGGCAGTCCTCAGCAGGAGGGCTGACCGATCACTGACAGGTGGCTTGAGGGTCAGCAAAGGCCTGGGGCAGGGCACAGCCAGTTTTGCCCCCTCACTCCCTTGTACTGCAGCAGAAGGAAGCGCGGCTCAGCTGTTTCTGGGGAAATGAAGATGCCACGCACAGCCGGCAGTTATGAATGGCTCTTATAACAACAAGCTGACATCTGTGCTTGGTTTTTAAGATGCATCATCGCATGTTTATTAAACTATTGCTCCATCATATTTATTTGGCTACGAAACAACTCCCAGCCCATACTTCCAAAAGTGGTTTATTAAAAACTAAGCCTTGAACATTAATACTCAAAAGCACCCCTGAGAATCAATAATAATGCTGCAGATAAAATGAAAGGGAATCAAAGCAGTAAGTCTTGGTGGGGGCTGCAGCTGACTTTCAACACTTTCTTATATGTTCAGGCAGCTGGAGTGAGGAGGAGCACCGAGAGTGTGGCACTGAATGCAGGGGTAGCCACCCCAAACAAAGGACTTCCTGTCTAATATGTGGACATGGTAGCAGGGAAGGGGGTATCCTGGGGCCACCTCGCTTTATACAAAGGGCCAAAGGGCCAAAAAAAAAAGGCCAAGATGAAGCCCAGCGCAGGCCACTAGATTCACCAAGAATAAAACCTCTGCCCCTAACCAACAGCCCCATACTGAAGCCCTGGGCTGGCACCGGTCTGAGCATCTAACCTGGACACAGGCTGCCCAGCCCTGGCACCAGGCTGAGCCTCAGCCTGAGTCCTGTCCCTGCCCAGAACAAACCTCAGTTCCAACCTGCCAGTGGTCCTAAGGGGCCCAGCTGAGCCAGGCAGGCTGGAAGAATGCACTCAGCCCCTGAGCAGGAGCCCAGCATGTGCACCCCAGCCCTTCAGGAAGATCTTTCTAGCCCCAGAAGACCTGGCAGAAAGGCTTCTTCCAGCTCCCTCCCAAATCCCCAAACATTTCCATGGGTACCCACCTGTACCCCATCCAGGCAGCAAACAATAACACATGGCCAGTTCCACAAACGTACACGAACAAACTGGAAGATTCAGTAAAGAACCCACAGGATGTGGAGGGGACTCTAAACCATGCCCTGCTAAGAACAAGACAGTGGAAGGATCCAGAGATGTTTGGGGTCAAGAAAAAAGGAGACACAGGGCTGACTCACTACTTAAAAAATCTAAGGGTTGACCTGGGCCAAGGCAGCCCAGGTGTCTGTGACTACAGGGAAGTTACAGGGTTCACTTCCCAGATGAGCGTGAGGATTTCCTCCAAGGCAGTCATCACTGCAGGAAGGGGTTCACCCAGCTCAGGCCCTCTTGTAGGGGAGAGCAAGTCCTGGGGATCGACACTCACCTGCTGACTTCTTGGACATTGTTGGTGCGAGCAGCTTCCATCAGGGCTGCATCTGAAAAGAAAGGGGGCACTGGTCAGATCCCTGGTCAGGACCTACCCTCAGAGCTAACTGCATGGAGGGCCCAGCAAAACAATGGAAATGGAAGAACTTCAAAAACATGGGCTTTGGGGTGCCTGGATGGTGCAGTCAGTTAATCATCTGACTCTTGGTTTTGGCTAGAGTCAAAATTTCAGGGTCCTGGGATCAAGCCCTGCATTGAGCTCCACACTGAGTGTGAAGTCTGCTTGGGTTTCCCTCACCCTCTTCCTCTGCCCCTCCCCACCAAAATAAAAAATAAATAAATAAAAGGAAAGAAACATGGGCTTTAATGAAGGAAATGATGCCAAGGCATATAAAGAGGAAGCTAATCATCCCCTGCCTACATGGTAGGCACTGTTACCCTGTCTTCCACATCCATTACAGAGCCCAAACTTGTAACTCTTATCATACAGGTGATCCAGGTAAAGTGCTAGCAACCATGTGCTGCCTATGGCAAATGCGTGATGTGAATCTCTTCACCCTTCATTAGCTAGAAAACTCAGACGAATATGTTTCACATGGCTGTCATTGTTACTAGTCATCCCCCTACCTCATCCCACTTTCTCCCCCAACACTGATTTCTCAGCCTAGTTTTGAATCCATGTCAAAAGTCACCAACCCTGCACAGAGGAAGAGGCAGGGGTATGGGCTCCTCAGTTAAGAGCCTTGACCAGGAGCCAGGAGGCCCAACCATCTGCCCCCTACTCCCTGGGCTGTGGCAGCCCCTTTGCCTCTCAACTCCAGCTTCCATGACTATAAAGTAGATGCAATAATCCTTGCCCTGGCAAGCCTCACGAGGATTCCAAAGAGATGAAATGATGGTTGAAAAACCTGCCAACTCCTCGGTGCCAAGCTCAGCAAAGGGAGACCCAAAGCAGAGGGTTGCAATCCCTTAGCAAACACCTAGCAGAAAAGCAATGCTAAGCCTGGCCTGGCCTGAGCAGTCTGCAGGCTGTTGGCACCACCTCGTGGCCACAAAGAAAAACTGCGTGACTCAGAAAAACTATTAATAGTAGAGGCAAGATTTTTTCAAATAGTCATGGAGCCCTATGTGCCCAGCATGGTTCTGAGCTCCATTGTTAAACACTGGAGAGACTCATACCTAGCCCTGCCTCAGGGAGTTCTCAGTCCAGCCAAGAGACTCACCCAGCAAAACATGAGAGGAGGCACTGCAGTAGGGTAGAAATAGCAGGATATGGAGACAGACAGACCTGGGCTCCCACCCCAATTCTGCCACTTACATGCTCTATGACCTGGCCAACTCATCTAACCTCCTGAGCCTCAGTCTCCAGGGATAAGATAGCCACCTTGTCATGCATACACAAACCAGATCTGTGGTTCAGACATTACTGTCTCCACCCCACCTGCCAGCCTAGAGTCCAGGGAGAGGTCTTTCCTGGTTATCTTCTCCCATGGTTCTCTAAGCACACATCCAGGGATGCTCAGACAGCCCTCAGTTGGAAGGGGAACAAAGCTTCCTCAGAGATCACTGTATCCACTCCTCCCTCATTCTGCAGAAAGAAGTGGCTTCTGCAAGGTCACAGGGGGAATGAGAAGGAGCTGAGAGTCAGGGCCTCCCGGCTCTTACAGGGTACAGTTTCTACCACACCATATGGAGGGCCTGAGCTTATAACTCCAAATCAGGGTACAGCATAGGCTAGCAAAGTCTGAAGGGCTGGAAGTGATCATGGTTTTGGTCATTACTTACTTTAGAAAGTAGACAAAGTCCAGATTGGCGCCCCCAGGAACCTCTAAGGCAAGACCTTGCACCTCTCCCCCAATTCATCTAAGCATACTAGCCTCAGGACATTCCCTGCTCATTAACTTTCCGTGGCTCTCCACTGCCCATGGAAGAAATTCCAAACCTCCAAAAACCCTCCTGTCTGACAGCCAGGCCCAACTCCATCTGCTCTCACCTCATTCCAAAGACCCCCTGTCCTCCAACCAGGCTGGCTAACCTGCCAGCCCCTGCACACACCATGCTGACCTGTGACCCCCATATCCATGAAGTCTTTGCATGCAGTACAATCCAACTCAAGACACATTTACGGAGTACCTACTACGTTCCAGATGCTATGGTGCACAATGTGAAAGTATTAGGGAAAGGAACTCGTATCAACCTGAAAAAAAGATAAGCTGCATTCCTCGCTCTCATGGAGCTCACAGTGTCACTCCTTTTCATCTCTTACCTCATTCTGCAGAACTCAAGTTCAAATTCCCCATCCTCCAGGGGTCTCCAATCTTCCAGGAATGCTTTCCTGACCCTGCTGGCCCTCCAATCCCCCAACAACACACTGTCAGACCACTCACCAGACCCATAGGCCTAACTGCCTGAACTGTCTCCTTAAATGACTTTGTGCTGCTAGGAGTTCCACACCTCCCAAAACTGGGCTCACAGAGAGTATTCAAAAAATGCTCAAAGATAGAATTATAGCATGCCTAAGCTAGAAGAGCCCTTATAATCTCTATTTCAACATCCTCATTTTGTAGATGAGGAAACAGGGCCAGTGAGGATGAGAAGCAAGAGTGTAAAGTCACAATGGGAGTTACAGGTAGAACCAGAACAAGATCCCAGAGGTCCTTACACCCAATTCAGGACCGTTCCTTTACAGCTGGCCACATCCTGCTAAATAAACTTAGTTCAAGGTAGTCCCCACTCTTACTCCCAAGTCTAAGAGCTTGGGATGCATGAAACCTATGAACACCATGCTTCCAGCCTTACCCCGAGGAACTACTGAGAACCTGAGTGGGTGGACTCATGTAGGCCAGAAGTCTGGCTGCCTGCTCTCCCAGTCCCTGCTCAACTCCTTGCACCCAGGTGAGATGCCAAGCTGGGTCAGCCGGCCCCCACGGTTGCTTTTGGGTCTCTAAGGATCCAACTTCCTTGTTTTTCTTCTCCTGCCAACTGCATGGCTTGGCAAGATCACCTCACACCTGAGACCAGCGACAACAAAACCCCAGGGACTCATGGCAGACCCAGACTGCTGAACTCCAAGACTCAAAATAACAGCACTGTAAGAGTACTGAGAAATCATTCTTTACGGTGTAAGGGGGGATAACGTGAAACCAGAGAGGAGCAAGGGATGAACAGTGGCAACGCTGGTATTGAAATCAAGTTTCTACTTCCTTTCTTAGGCCACCTTTCGCAGGGAAAACTTATCTGAACTATCTAGTAGTTACCGTTAGAACACACGGCGGTTTCCTGGAGACCTCTTAAGAGAAGAATTGGACCAGGCAGAATATTAGGGCATAAAAGGACCATGCTCTCATTTTAGATGTCTCATTCAATGTTTTCATTGTACAGATGGACAAAGTAACGCCCAAAGGGAGTTGACCTATGATAGGAAGTGATACAACTCAGAGGCACTAAGCTCTCCAGTTCACCACCCTGCCCCAGTGACCAGACGATGTCTGAGTCCTTCCAGGACTGAAGCTCTGCTGCTCTAAATCTATAAGCAACTCCCGCCCTCCAAAGATAACGGAATCAGGTCACTCCTCCCGCCTCTATCTTCCTCGAACCCAGACTGCCCCGATAATCACCCTTGTTGGACGGGCTCTTGCTGTAACAGTGAACCACCAGCGCCGTGGCCAGGGCCCACATGCTCAGTCCGGCCCTGCTGGGGACCCCGTTCCAGCTGTCCTGTCCCGGGAGTGTTTCTTCTGGGCTAGGAAGGCGTCCCCATGTTGCGGCTACGAGGCCCTGGGTCTCGGTGCGTCCTCCCTGGCGCCCCCAGGTGGCTGCCCCTTCTCGGGGGAGGAAGGCCAACGATGTTCCAGGGCGCCCCCCGACGGCCGCCCTCAGCCACTGCGGCTCCCCGCGGCCCGCGGTGGTCACACTCTGGCTGGAGGCACTTCCATGACTCCGGAGCGATGGGGACCTAAGCAGCTGGAGGAGGAGCCGCGGCGCCAGCGCTGTTCTCCTCAACACCAGGAACCCCAGCATCGTGACAGCCGCTTCGATAACCCCTGGGTGCCAGCCCCTGTGCTGGCCGCGTCCAACATGGCTGCCGCGGCGCGTTCGAAGACGCCGCGAACGCGGTGGGATACCGCACTACTTCACGGGAGTGGTAGTCCACAGCCTTAGATTTTTCCGCAACTGGAGAACAAATAAACTACATTTCCCAGAAAGCTGTGGAACATACGTCACAATGACAGACGACTTAGAGGAGCCTCATGCATGTTGGGAAATGGAGTTCGAGTGAGGGGGCGTGGTAAGAGGGGAAATGCCTGGGTAAGAACGTGGAGCTTAGAATTAAGGTTAGAATCCCAGAGCCTCCTGCCAAGTTTAGTTAAAATATGCGACGCAGTTTCTGACTACTGCAAGTTAAATAGGGGATCTTCAGCAGAAGCCTATTATGAAACGTATGCTTATTTCTTTTAGCCTATTTCTCTTTTTTACCCTTGGACAGCTTTTCAAAAAAGATGTCTAGGGTAACCAGTACACCTGTAACAGACTTCCTTTCGGTTGAAAAGCTAACTCCAAGTCTTGCTTTCTCACTTGTGTTATTTTCTAAGGGTTTTCACGTGGGTTGTCCCATCGAATCGCATGACAGCTGCATGCAGGGAAGCTGGGCAAGGAATGTTATTCCTGTCTACAGGAAAGGGAATTTCAGTTCAGAGGTGGAAAAAATTGCTAATCAATCAATAAATAAAGCTCAGATCTTCTACCTCGGAGCCCAATACCTGCACCCCCATTTCTTCCTCTCTTTTCCAGACTGAACCCACAAGCAGGCAACGGAGGAAGCTATTTTATGCCAGTCCCATTCTTACTTCTGCCCTTCCTTTAGGTCTCTGCTCAAACTTCATGTTATCAGAGCCTTCTCTGACGATTTTATTTAAAATAGCAATTCTCTTTCCCACATCCTTCCTATCTTGCCTAATTTTTCTTCACAGTACTTACCATCTGACATACTGAAAATGTATTGTATTTAATGTCTTTCTCCAATAGAACATAAGCCCCACAAAACAGGGACTTTGTTTTTTTCTCTCTTACATTACTAGCACTCAGAACAATGTCTGGAACAAAAAGAGATGCTCAATAAATATTCCTTTGGTAAAAGGATCACTCCTGCCTTATTATTGTGGAGAAATGAATATAAGCTTTGGAGTGCAGGCAGACCTGGATTTCAATTTTAACTCTTGCATTTACTATATGTGTGACCTTGGACAAACTTCCTTACCTTTTTCATTGTTAATTTCCTCATTGTTATCAAAGATAATATGATCTACCCTCAAGAGGATTGCTTGTATTAAATGAGATAATATGTAGACCACCACCGTCCCTGGCTTACATTAGGTCTTCCAGAAATGGCAGCTAGCATTGTTTTCCCTGCTGTAGGGGTGCATTGGATTCCCTACTCTAAACTTCTTTTTAAATTTTTATTTAAATTCCAGTTAGTTAACATACAGTGTAATATTAGTTTCAGATGTACAATATAGTGATTCAGCCACTCTATATATTACTCCGTGCTTATCATGGTAAGTATACTCTTAATACCCTTCACATGTTTCACCCATCCCCCCACCCACCTCCCTTCTGGTAACCATCAGTTTGTTTTCTATAGTTAAGAGTCTGTTTCTTGGTTTGCCTTCCTCTCTCTTTTTTTCCCCTTTGTTCATTTGTTTTGTTTCTTAAATTCCACATATGAGTAAAATCATATGGTATTTGTCTTTCTCTGACTTATTTCGCTCAACATAATACTCTCTAGCTCCATCCATGTTGTTGCAAATGGCAAGATTTCATTCTTAAAAATATGGAACACTTGGGCGCCTGGGTGGCTCAGTCGTTAAGCATCTGCCTTCGGCTCAGGTCGTGATCCCAGCGTCCTGGGATCGAGTCCCACATCGGGCTCCCTGCTCGGCGGGAAGCCTGCTTCTCCCTCTCCCACTCCACTGCTTTGTGTTCCTGCTCTTGCTCTCTCTCTCTCTCTGTCAAATAAATAAATAAAAAATCTTAAAAAATAATATGGAACACTTTAGAAATTTGCATGTCATTCTTGCCAGTGGTCATGCTAATCTTCTCTGTATCATTCCAATTTTAGTGTATGTGCTGCCAAAGCGGGCACTCTACTCTAAACTTGAGGGCAGAGATGGAGTTTCTCATTTCCCATCTCTAGTAAGGCACTCAGTAAATAGCTGTTAAATGGACGAATGACTTCTTAAATTACTCAATAGCAAAAGCATTTTGACCTTCCTATTTTAAGAGAGTCCCAGGACATCCTGTTTTATTAGACACTCTACTCAGGATAGCAGCTTCGCCCTCCCTGTATTCTTAGAATACTTGTGCTTCCCAACTTAGGGCTGATCTCAGCCAGAAGGGCGATCTCTGAGGACCCATTACCAGGTGGGTCACAAGATGGTGTCAGTATGCGTCACTCAAGCCCTCCTACTGCAGGCGCTTTCCAGCACCTTTCAGTTTACTGCACAACTTGCAATCACTGGGTAATTCTCAAAGCACTTACCCATTGATTCCCCTTATTTGATTTTCACAAATAACATTGGGGGTGGGGGGGGTCAAGGCAGGGTTGAATTAGAAGAAAACATAAAGTAATTAAATAAATAGAGTAGGGAAGTTTCTGGGTGTGACACAAAACTCAGAACCCACAATAGAAAAGACAGATATATTTGACTCTACAAAAAAATAATTCTGATAGTGAAATATACATAGTGAAAAATATACACAGTGAAAAAGTGACAATATGGGGAAAAACATATTCACACCACAGTGATGAAGGGCTAAGTAATACAGAAAACTCCTACAAAATATGCAAAAGGCCTACCATACAAGAGACAAAGGCACAAGGGCAATGCCTATGCTAGCTTATACTGTGCCTTTGTGCAAAGTAAAGAACGGGTCTCCCTGAAGATGAATTAGAAAAAGAACCTGCACAGTGTGTGTGACTAGGTGAGCAGGGCACTGCCGGATCTCACCCTTCCACTTCCATGAGCCGCATATCCAAACTTAGCAGCCTCAAGCAAAGGACTTGACCAAAGAGCTCACGAGAAAAAAAAATACAAATTGTATTTAAACATATGAAAATATGCTCAACTACACCCATGATAAGAGATGTACAAATTAAAGCTTTATTGATCCATATCTTACACCATAAGCAAAAATCATCTCAAAACGGATTATAGACATAAATGTAAAACCTAAACTCTAAAACTTCTAGAAGAAAACATGAAGAAAATCTTCCTGATGTTCAGTGAGGCAAAGATTTCTAAGATATAATACCAAAACCATGATCCATTAAAAAAAAAAAAAGGTAAAATTTGACTTTGTCAAAATTAAGAACTTTTGCTCCTCAAAAGACACTGGTAAGAGAATTAACAGAGGGGTGCCTGGGTGGCTCAGTTGGTTAAGTGGCTGACTCTGAATTTCAGCTCAGGTCATGGTCTCACGGTCCTGGGATCTAGTGTCATCAGTCTCCATGCTCAGCAGGGAGAGAGAGAGAACAGAGAAACCACAAAGGGGAGAAAATATTTGTAAATTATACATCCACTAAAAGACTTGTACCAGAATATAAAAAGGATTCTCAAAACTCAATACAGTAATAAGAAAATGATCCTATTTTTAAAATGGGAAAAATATTTGAATAGACACTTCACTAAAGTGAAATAAACACATGAAAAGACCCTCAATACCATTACCATGATTCATTAGGAAAATGAAAATAAAAAATTACCATTACATATCTATTAAAATGTCTAAAATTAAAAAGACTGACCCTGGGCGCCTGGGTGGCTCAGATGGTTAAGCGTCTGCCTTCAGCTCAGGTCATGATCCCAGGGTCCTGGGATCGAGTCCTGCATC